TGAAATTTTGACAGCATTTAAAGAACAAGCTGGTTGAGATTGTATCTTGCATTCCCCATCCCATTTCTTAAGGGCCTTGCATGGTTTGCTTTTTGCTTTGCTCTTTTTTTTTTCCATTTCTGATGGGTCTTGCATGGATTGCTTGCTTTCTGCTTTGCTTTTTTGCATTTCTGAACGGTCTTGCATGGTTTGTTTGCTTTTCTTTTTCTTTTTCCGTTCAGCCGGAAGGGATTAATTGCATTTCCGATGGTTCTTGCAGTGTTTGTTTTGTTTTGTTTTTGTGATCTTTTTTCTTCTGCCAGAACAGATTAATTGCATTTCATTGCATTCCTATGGGAAATGGTGCTTCGACATACGATCATTTTGAGTTACGACCATCTTCCGGAATGGATTATGTTCGTAAGTCGAGGAACCACTGTACCTGTTTCATTCAGGCCACACGCTTTTGTGTTTTCCCCACAAAACAAAGAAACAAGCACACACACACAAAAAAACTGTTTCAACATGGCACCAGAGTCACAACAGTGAGGCATTCACACAATCATTTGGTTCATTTTTTTCCATGAGCTCACCAGTGCTTCCACAGAGGGCTTAACATTCAAAGCCCTATGGGAGAAGTAAGGAAAGAAACAAGAGTTTCAAACCAGAAAGCTGTGGAAAGCTTAACCAGTAGGAAGAAGTACGAGAGAGAGAGAGAGAGAGAGAGAGAGAGAGAGAGAGGGTTATAGTGACCCAGGAAAGACTTTGAAGACTAAATCAGCTTAAAGGAGGAATTTGAAGGAGTAAAGTAAATTGAGAGATAAAGAATGAAAGATTGTTCCATAGCTATAGATCACATTATGAGGAGTATGAAGGTAGGAGTTGGGGGAGAGGAAGGAGCCGTTAGCATACACAAGAACAATATTTTTTCTGTTTAAAAGTAATATTTGAAACAATCTGGAATACAAGCAGATTTGTTAGGGTAGATGGCACAAAGGCTATAGTGCACCATTTAGACTAACAGATTAATATTCATCTGGGGTGTGACTGACTGTGGTCCCCTGACAAAAGCCAAAACAAGTTTCTTGTTCGTGATATCAAGTTTCTCCTCACACAAACAGGGTTTTCCTTTAAAACAAAAGCCTAAATAGAAAAAAAGCTAGAATTGGTGGAGGATTCATTAAGGAAGTGAAAGTGACAGGAACATTCCAATAACACGGCAGATGCTGTTCGAGTATCACTGTGGTATATAAACTTCCAGGTTTAATGTCTCAAAAGACAGGAGTGTGTTTGTGTTTCAGCATTGCTTTGCTCCTTTACGGAATAAGACTAAAAAGACAGGTCCTTGCTCTGAAGAGCTTGCAGTATAAAATGTGACACAGAGGAGGTAAGAGAGGGAAATAATCAAGATGGACACAAGAATAGCCAGGAAACACATACAGTCAGTTTCAATTGCATGTCCATAGGCATTGTTTCAGTAGACTTCCTTTCCTAAATATTAACACACTGGAAATGCCACTCCCCCTCATATGGGACTCTCCTGAATAGAAATAGAGAAAGCTGTTTTGGAGCTGTTAACATCCTTTACATGACTTGCCAGCCGTCATCTGCACATGTTCTGAAGCAGACTTTTCACAGGGTTTGCAACACAGTAATTCCAAGTGGCTTCAGAGGAAGAGAAATTTGCCCTTTCACAGAGAAGGGCTTTCACAGAGAACAAGCTGCAAACTCTCCCAAACTAGCTTTGTAGTGTAGAAAGGAGAACAGAAGATCGAGTGAGCTATAGGCCTCTGACATTTAAAGGCCAGAATATCTTCAGACTCCCAATGTGTATTCTTTTGCTGAAGTTCAAACCTCAGTATGTGTTGGCAATAAAGGAGCCTTAATATTCAGGGCTGGCTCTACCATGAGGCTGAGAGAAGCAGCAGATTTGGGGTAACACGAAAGAGCAATAAATTCTTAATCATTTAATTTGACCTTGCTGTACTTTTGCTGCGTTTTGAAGGATGAGAGGTTCTTGTGAATCTTTCTGGTTCATGTGTCATGGCTTTCTGTATGCATTGTTTTTGGCAGGATGGTGCCATTTGCTGCTCTGCCTCTGGTAACAAGACACCTTATCAATCGAGAGGGTACAGGCAAGGGAACTACTCAAATATTAGGGAGATGGGGCAATATTTACAACACACAGTTAAAGCATTTTGATTCCACTTGAACTGTCATGGCTTCATCCTATGGAATCCTGGGATATATAGTATGGTAAGGGGCATAAAATATTCATCCTAGATTTCTAGTAGACTTGCCTGAATTACAACAGAGAATTCTCATAGTACACTTCTCAGGATTCCATCACAGAATGGAGCCACAAGTGTTAAAGTGGAATCAAACTAATACAACTATGTAAAGTACAGTACTCACAACAATACTGAGTACACAGGGTGACAGAACAGGTGCAGTCCCTGGATATGGTGTACCACCCTTTGGCAGTCACTCTCCTTCTCAGGGAAGGTGCACAGCAGGGAAGTCTAAGTGCATCCCAGAAGATTTCTTGCAGTGGAAGAAACTTGTGCAAGGCACACTGTAAAAAATCTTTATCACCAAATCTCAAATGGACTCTCCTTCTCAGGGAAGGTGCACATTAGGGAAGTCTAAGTGATGGGAGATTTCTTGCAGTGGAATAAGCTTGTGCAAGGCACACTGTAAAAATCTTTATCACCAAATCTCAAATGGAGCTACCATAGCAGTAGTCTATCTTGAACTACAACAGCAATGACAGCAATGCCCCACTGCAAGGTAACCCTACATTGTATACATTCAAAGCAGTCGGGAGACAGCATAGGTCAATCTTTAAACCAGTCAGTCACCTTTTAAGCAAATGACAACAGCTTTCTGCCACTGAAAATATGGTAACTCAAGGCATTTGTCTTCTGTTTGCATAGTTAGCACCCACAAAGGATCCTACTAGACTCCCTGTCTACTACTTCAAGCTCTTGCTGTCCTTCTATCCAATTCCTGTTGACTCTCCAGGAATTTCTTCTCCTCCTGAGGGATAATCCTGTTTCAGCTTCACACCCCATTAGTTATACAGAGTACTTTTGGCAAAGACCAGCCAGCTCAAGGCATGAATGAGCAAGAATATCTTATCCCACCAATCTTGGCTAGCAAGGAATCTTGATTTATTAAAACAAGAAAATGAATGTGGAATGACTTGAAAGAAGTGGAGCACTTTGGTGGGTACCTTGCACAAAATGGGACACTTTTGTCAGTATGGGAGAAGGTATGAGCATTAAAACTCAGAGATTTCAGATCAATCTAAAAATTCTATTGTGTTCTTTTCTTTTCCAGAAAGACCAGTTGTTTCTTGGGCTGTTGCCCTGCCTTGTAGCATTAGCCCAAGGAAGGTCCCTTTGTATGTCCCCCACCCCGCCCCCATTCTGAAAGTTCTCTCTTTCCTTCAGTGTAAATGTAACTATGCACAGTTTTTCTGGCATAGATTAAGTTGAAGAGTACCTATTGATTGTCTGGTGGACGCACTCCCATACCCAAGGATAGGCCACTTCTGCAACTGAATCTGACCTGGTTACTTCACAGAGGGAGGGTCTACCTGGAATGATAGCTGGGTGAGACAGATTTCTTCTTCCTTGCCTTTCATTCTTCAGTTTCTCTAACTCTGGCTAGATTCTGAGAGATTCTACACACTGGTTGGTTGTGAAAACTACAGGTTGTGGATATCTAGACAGTAAATAATGTTAATGCCAAGAGGAGATGCATTTGCTTCAGAAAAGTGTATGCCTTATGTTGCTGAATTGTTGATAAGACATCTGTATTGAAAAACGGTTACATTCTGTGTAATCTACTCACATCTGGTTTGTAAGTGGAAGGAGACCCTGCACACGCATGTTCAGGCATTCTCTTTTTTACTCATATTTCACAAGTGTCAAGGTGGTGGTGCCATAACACCAGGCAAAGTATATGGGGCTGAGATGAGTTTCAGCAAATTGTGCTCAGACAATTTGAATTACAATCCTGTACATTTAATCTGTTTTTGACACCTACCCCTGTCGTCACATATAATCCCTCACATATAATCTCACTTCACCGCACCTGCCATTTTTCCTGTGCTGGAACGTACCTCACAGTGAGTCCCTCTGAACACCATGTGTCCCTTGCCTGCCTGCCTTCCTTCCTCCATCCCTCATTCCTGAAGACATGGCATACAAATCTGAAACCATGACAAATATTTTGTTTCCCCTCAAGGAACAATCATATCGTGACCGAGTTTAAATAAATTTATCTTAATAAATTAACTCTGTAGATAAGTGTATATGTCAGTCCCCTCCACCACCACCCCAAAAATAAACAGCGAATTTTGCAAAAATGCTGCTTCTGCTTCTTGCAGGAGAATTCTGGAAAAGCTTATTAACAGTATCAAATATAATACCCACATCCTAGGTCGAAATTAAATAAACAAAACCTCTTCTAGTCAGAATGCTGAAGTAAGATTTACCTATGGAACATCTGCCTGCTGTGCAATACTGTAGTTAAAAACCAAAGATCCTTGCCTACCAAACAAAATATTTTTCAACCTGCTCTTCTGGGAACATCTCAACTTTTCCCCATAGACAGTAAAAAGTAAAACTTACAAAAGTATTCTTAAGGTGTTCCTAACGCAAGTTGCATACAAATACAAGCTGCCTGTGTGCATGCTTAGAGACGATACAGTTAAATTTAAAAAATATACCTCCGGGAAGGGGGGGGCTTGTCCAGCTCTGCATCCTCAAACTGGCTGATCAACAACTTGTGCCAGGTTCAAGCCGTGCAAAGACAGGAGACAGCAGATTACAACGGGAGTACGAAGGAGCCCTGAAACGCTCCCGAGTTCTCCCTACCGCCCTTGCATACAACATGGGAAGCCCAACACCTCAGTTCATCTCTCTCTCTCTCTCTCTGGGGAATGGCAAAGACCGGGAAGAACAGCCAGCTCAATGGCCGAGGAGAGAAATAAATAAATAAATCGCACAAACCTCATTAACGTGGGATCTGATTCAAAGTCCGACTCCTGTGCAACAATCCAAAGAAGAGACACCCTCGCAGCAAGCCAGGAAATTCTTTTGGAAGCAAGAGTTGATTTCACCGCCTCATTGCTATTTCAAAATTATCTATCTATCTATCTATCTATCTATCTATCTATCTATCTATCTATCTATCTATCTATCTATCTATCTATCTATCTATCTATCTATCTATCTATCTATCTATCTATCTCCCCCTGAAAATCCCTTCCACTCCCTTCCACTTCTTCTCCCACGCCAACCAGACTGCTGTTTTAATTCAGATACCAAGCTGAGATCCTCAGGAAGGAAGGAAGGAAGTGGTGGTGGCGCCCGCGCTGAGGGGGGGGGCACACAATACCTCGGCAGGACCCCTGTTTTGCTCGGTTCCCGGGTGGGCTGCCACCTTTCCCTCCTCCTTGGCGGCTGCTTCTCTGCTGAGCAGGCGCTCCCTCAGGCTGGCTGCCTGCCTTCCCTCCACCAGGGGCACACGCGTGAAGGGGCTTGCCCGGCCCGGCGGCGGCGGCGCGAATCGGTCTCGGGCAAGCCGAAGCGGGAAGAGACCGTCTTTATTTTTACCTCAGGTGTGTGCGCGTGTGTATGTGTGTGTGTGTGTGCCTGGGCGCGCGCGTTACGAGTACGTGCACCGGGCCGGACGAGGGGGGGGCGGCTATCCGTGACTCAAGGTTGTCTGGCATTCCTTGGGAGTTATGCACACCTGTATGGGCAAGAACAGCCCGGGCAGCCCAGCCTGCGCTCCCTTGGATCTTAAACAAGTTTGAAAAAGAAAAGGCTCCCCACCCACAGGAAAAGGGTTGGCGCGAGACGCTGAGGGCAGAGCCCAACCCAAGCTCTACTTCGGCGGCGAAGTTTTTGCAAAGGGGATTTTGTCTGATAGCAGGGGAAAAGGAGATCTTTCAGCTGCCACCAGTTGCCTTATTCCAGTTCTGTAGCGTTTCATCCGTATGCACTATTCCGCTCTTGAGAGCAAACATGGGGGGGGGGGGGGATTATATGTATATTTAGGCCCTTTTCTTCTAACCCAGCTTTAAAAAATCTTTACATCCGACTTCCAGCCAACTTCCTATGTTTGGAGGCAACCAAATTCTGGCATTTTTGAGTGTCGGCAAACCCTCCCAGGAAAGGAGTTCTTTGATAGCCTCAATAAGCTTCAGTTTTCGTTCTTCCCTAGTCACCAGAGAGAAGCATTCTGGGTGGCAAAACAAAATTTGGGATGTGACATCTCTGGGCCCCCCAGGAATACCCCTGCCCTGGGCTGAAATTGTACGTGCAATTTCCATCCTCTCTAACTAGGCTGGGAAGGGCTGATGGAAACTGCAATCAAATGATGTCTGATGGGCCACAGGTTGTGCAGCCCTGCTCTGGAGATAACACTGGCACTGTAACACAGCAGGCATGGGTGTATTTCCATTACTATTACTTTTATCCTGCCTCCAGGATACAGCTTCTTCCAGGACAGTTTGCAAACCATGTTAAAATCAGTAATAAAATGACAAATAACATTTGGAGGTAGATGGCCAGTCTGTGGAGCTCAGAGAACAGCTTGCAAGAAGAATGGGTCTCTGGTGGATTCTCCCCTGCGCTCTATAAACGAAAGATGGGGAAATTGTGGCCCTTCAGGTGTTGCTGGGGCACAGTTCCAAGCATTCCTCCTCATCATCAGTGGCTATGCTGAGTAAGGCTGATGGAAGTTACAGCAGGACACTCACCACTTGAAGAGCCATGTGCTGCCCATCCCTCCTCTCAACCAAGGATGGGGAGCCTGTGAAGAACAAGGGAAGGGAAGAACGATCTCATGGGGGAATCAAATATTGCTCACATATTGTTCTGTTCAGACAAACATTTCTTCCAAATATATATTTAATAGTCCATAATTATGGCCCTTTTGCAATCAGAATTCAGTTCCAGAATGTCATTCTTCACATAAATCAGAATTCAGTTCCAGAATGTTGTGATTCTTCACACAGTATCTGGCTTTCCATATAACGAGGAGTGAAATGCCTTGTATGTCATATGAAACACCAAACCTCCATGTTCAAAATGGTTGTTCTTTGAAGTCCATTGTGACTCATTGTCTTAATAACCAAGCACTTCGGATGTACAGGAAAGGATATTTTCCATCAAACTGAATTCCTATTGCTGAATGAAAAGACTGGTTTAAATCAGAAAGCAGGTAACGTTGCTTGTATGTTTTGATCTTGAAACTGTTGAATTTTTCTCTCCTTAGTTGTCAATAAGTGGGCTAATGCCATCCCTCTTTTATATTCTTACTTTTATTACTGGGCAATATAGGCTGATTTGTAAATAAAATAAATTTTGCATTGTTGGTTCAAATATTCAGCTTACGTTTTGATGAATGATGCCTCTGGGGAAATGCAACAGGATTCTAAGATATGGGGAAACGTGAGATGAAAGATAATAGATAAAGTATTATGCACTTGGATAGAGTGGTTTTACTGGGATGAAAAGCCTGAGTTTGGACTCAGTTTGACCATGAATTTGGCTTACATAGTGGTGAAGGAATATTGTTAATGGGCAGTGGATAGGGCCAGTCCAAGAAAACTGCCTGAGAAGGGAAGAACAAGGTGCTCCTGCCTATTCCATCTCTTGAAGCAAACTGTACTTGACAATTGAATTGTGTCTCAATGCTGCTGAAGTGCCATTGTCTCGGTGCATCTGAAGGTAGCAGGCCAAGGTGGTGGATACAGGATGTCACCTATGGTGTGTGCATCTCTAACAGAGAAGAAAGCCATGGGTATTGCTGGTTTTATCCCCAAGCATCTGCCACACAATATAGTTTTGTTTGTTTGTTTGTGGGCCACTTTTCTCCCAGTGAAGGAATCCAAAGTGACTCACAAAACTGAAATAGGTAAAACTGAAAATGCAGTAAATTAAATGGCAATTTAACTATACTGCTAATTAAAAACCCATTAATTTAAAAAACAATTAAGACTGTAAAATAAAATTAGAAAATAAAAAACACAAAAAACACAGTCATGATGATTAAAACTTACTAAAAGTCTGTCAGAAGAGGTGAGTCTTTAACTATAAGCAGAAGGATAAAAGGGAGGGGGCCAACCTATCTTCTTAAGAGAGAGCCTGCCACAACCTGGGAGCTGCCACAGAGAAGGGCCCTTTCTTGTGTCCCCATCAAATGTGCCAGCAATGGAAATGGGAGTAACAGGAGGGTCTGCTTGGAAGATCTTGAGGGCCTGCGAGGCTCACAATGGGAGATAAGTGTACCTCGGTCTATCTAATGCTAAGGCTCCATTAGCAGCATCTCTTGGCAATGTTATGTCTTGGACTGTAACTCCCAAAATCTAGGCTTGTATTGTAGTCCAGAAACAATAACATTTTCAGGTTTAGGGTATTGTAAGTAAGTGCATTTGACCAAACTCCAAGAGGCAGTGGAAGACAGGAGGGTCTGGCATGCTCTGGTCCATGGGGTCACGAAGAGTCGGACATGACTTAACGACTAAACAACAACTGCATTAGATCCCACAAGGGATCCCAGAGACACCAAAGGGTAAGACAAACAGTTCTAGCCTGGAGAGATAATACAGCCACACACTGCTGGATTCTCCACTTGGTTGATTTTTTAAAAAGATATCCCAATCCTGAAAAACAACTATGCATAAGCCAAGAGTGCACTAAGCTCAGCATTATTTGGTATCTCTTCGCAGTGTATTAAGGGATCACTTTTCAGCTCATGTGCATATTCCAGAAATTACATTAAAGGAAACAAGTCTCTCTCTCAAACTATTTGCTTACATAAGCCTCACCCGACCAATGGTGCTCGTAATTCCATAGGCATCTATGAAAAGATCCCTGCCCTTAGGGGACATTCGTCAGAGGCTCAAAGTGCAGGTAATGTTCATCACTTGTCAATTTTTTTTTAGTCTGATGTTTTCTTTTTCTTTACCCAAAGCAGCCACCTAGGTTGCAATCTTCAGGTGGAAGTGAGGAGAAGGAGAGACGCAATCTTAACTCTTTCTCATCTATAGATCTCCTGCCTTCCTATCACCGGTTGGCTGCTTTTGACCTTATGGGGAAATTAAAATATTCTGTACTCCTCCCCTCCCCTCGGGGTGTCTCTGGGTGTAAAAAAAAAGTTTAGTGAGTCTTAGGGTCAAGTTCAATTCTGAACATAACTTTCAATATACAGGGCTCTGATTTCTTCAGCCAAGGCACTGCTAAACAAAATCCCTTTGTCCCTTAATCACTTGTTGGGGCTAAGGGCTTATCTACTTGCTGGCTTGGAGTGGACTGGGGCAGGCTAAATAGGGTCACTAGGGGGGTCTGGTATGCCACTTGGTGGGATCTTCTAATCCAAATGGCGTAAGGACTAGAAGCAACCCTACTTGGTCCCCACCAGCCCATTGTCAGAAGTGGAACAGACGGGGGAGGGCAACAAGGGGGGGGGAGGATTTTGGTTTGCCTTTGTCTTTGAGAAACAGTCTCATCCTGCTACTTCTGCTGCTCAGCTTGCCCCTTTTAAAAAAAAAAACCAAGCCACACCATCACCACCCCAGGCAGGTGGGAGGGCAGATAAGAGCTCAGCTTTCCAAAGGCAGCCTCTCCATGCTGTCTTTAGAAACCCTTCCTCCTGTCTTCTCCTGCCACCCTGCTGCTCTGTTTACCCCTTTTAAAAAGCCAAGTCAAGCCACAAACACAGACAGGCAGAGGGGCATAGAGCTGAGGAAGTGCTTAATTTCCCTGTATCATAAAGCGGCTCTCTTATTAAGCTACTTCACGATATTGGCACATTGAAAGAGGAAGGCTTCCTTTTGTCCATTCCTGCCAATCACATGCGCTGGAGAGGAACCAAAGGAGAGCAATCTTACTTGCACTAAAAAAAGGAGAAGGCTGTTGACAGGAGCCAGAAAGGTGTGGGTAGGAAGGCTGGGGTTGGGGGGAAATGGGCTACTTTGCTCCAGCAAATACATTGTCTTGTTGCTATCTTTAAGAGGGCACCAGCCCATTCCTGCAGTGGTTCAAACTTTATGGTAAAGGACCATGGCGTTTTAATGTTTGTAAATCAAAATGGACATACTAGTCCTCCAAAGTAATGCTGCGGATCTTCTGTATCATAATCACCCAAACAGCTGTAAACAATGTCA